TCTCGCTTTGACCGAACGACCTTGTCAATTCACTTCGTTTCAAGGAGACTATTGAGTTGTTCCAGCCTGAAATTATCCGCATCGCATGTGTTGATCACATAACACGATATATCATTCTCTCGCACCTTAACCGTCAGCTATTAAGCTTTCGAAGTGTCTCGCTCTTGTTTTTCAATAATCGAAGGGTTGCGCTGATCTATTCTCCGAGTCCAAAGGGTTGCTCATTCCATTCATAACCGCGACTTTACGATGAACAATCGCAATGGACCTTTGTCACCAGTTTCAATAGGAAGCAACAACGAATGGTCAGGAATTGAAAAATATCAAGACGATAACGATTCGCCCTACCCGATGAATCGCGGACAACTTGCTTCACCGCCGATATCGAGCGGATCAAACGGTACAATGAATGGGGGAGATTTCCCACCTAGAGGTCCTTCTGGTGGCAGCCCTGGCAATCCATCTCCTCCAAGCTCCATCGGCCGTTCAAGCATTGGCACAGGTTTATACGCAGGAAGCGAAAGTGGGCAGGACAAGAAAGATGAACAATTCGAGGCCTTACTATCAGAGCACTACGTCTCATTGAAACGATACCTGGCAGCGTCATTGAGAGATGAGAAGGGGAATCCTAGACCCAACAGAGCGCGAGACAAGTTGCTACGATTGTCTCCTGTTCAATTCCAGGAACTTAGTACCGATGTCTTTGATGAACTTTTACGAAGGCAGCAGGCAGGGAGAAGGACTCCCAATGGACAGAGAAATGATCAAGGACCTCCGCCGTACTTGTTGCCGAAAAACACGTTCCACCCGAAACGAAATCAGGCCCGCCAGAAGTTATCTACGCTGCCACCGCCCAGGTTTAGAGATTTAGCTACAGATGTATTCTATGAATTGGAGCGAAGGTTTCCGCAATTCACTGCTAGTGATAGAAGTCGCATGGGTAGTCCCGTATCTACAAGAGGACCTCCAAGCAGGAGTGGGAATGGCACACCTGTGGATATGCCACCGAGAGGCCCAAGCCGTATGCGCCGACCTTCAGACGCTAGCTCTATAGGTCCCTATTCAATAAGAAGCGAAAGGAGAAGTGAGAGAAGCGAATCACGCAATGGGTCAAGGATGGCGCCGCCAAATGGTCCAAATGGTAGTTTGGGTATCCCACCTTCGCCTGGTATACCACCTAATGATTACGGCCGACCGACACCCAAAACCTTTCAAAGTAACACGATTGTACCGAACAAAAGTACCATGGTTGAAGATGATGAGAGCGGGCCTGAAGATAATGATGATGATGATGGGGATGCTTTCGGATTGGAGGGAGCTGCAAGAGATCGAGAGAGTAAGAAAAGCATGGGGGGTTCAGAGGTAAGATCAGTGCCTACTTATCTTTCTAACTCTATTCTAACTTCGCAGATCGATAAGAAACTTATCGATGATTACCAATCCCAAATTGCAGAGCTTCAAGAACGACTTGATTCTATGGAAGATGACTTGAAACGAAAGGACGATGAACTTAATATTGTTATGGACCAGCAAAGGGGAAGGGATGCATCGGCAGATGCGGATAGAAAGGAGTGGGAAGACCTTAGAATAGATCTTGAAAACAAGCTTGCAGATGCGCAAAATCTTAACGACACTCTACAATCAGAGATTGACCGAGCACGGGACTCACAAGCAAATTCGGATAGAGAGCTAAAGTCTCAGATTGAAGAGCTTCAAATTGCTCTTGTAGACGCTGGTAAAGGTATAGGATCCGGAGATGCAGATCTGGAACGGGAAAACGAAGAGCTCAGAGCTGAGCTGAGAGAGCAACAAGAAATCACCGAGGACGTTCGAAGTGAAGCTCAGGAGTTCCTTCGCGAAATGAGGATGTTGTCCGAACGAAGCACTGCATCTTATGAACGCGAGGAGCAACTTGAGACCATGGTAAACAAATTAGAGGATGAAGTTAAAGAATGGAGAAATCGATATGCGAAAACAAAGACGCAGCTGCGCACCCTAAGAGCATCTTCAATTGGCCTCTCGATACAAGATGCAGCCAAGTATGCAAAAGACACTGGATTTACAGCAGAGAACGGTCTTATCAAGGATGTTCACATTACTAAGTTTCAACTTTCGATTGATGAGCTTTTACAGACTGCACGCTCCAGCGACCCTGAAAAGGTCATTGAATACATGAAGAATGTAGTTATCAATGTGCGACAAATCTCTCAAGATATCGATCAAGCACCACAAAGTAGTGCAGAATTAGCCCAGAAGCAGGTCAAGCTTAAGTCTAGACTCTCGGCGACAGCGAATAATCTGATCACCGCATCCAAGAATTTTGCTGGGGCCAAGGGACTCTCGCCTGTTTCATTACTGGATGCAGCCGCTTCCCACCTTACCACGGCGGTAGTCGAGCTTGTCCGGACGGTAAAGATCAGACCTACTCCCGCAGGAGAGCTAGAAGACAATGGTGATGGTACTTTACTCTCAAACGACGTAGTAGCACCTGCGCCTGTATCAATTCAACCCTCTACCATTGGAGGACTTTTCTCATCTAAGTCTGCAACAACAACTGAACCCAAGCCTGCAACAACTAAACCTGCTACTGGAGGCATCTTTGGATTCTTTGCATCGCGTGAAGTCAAGCAAGAGAATGTTCCACCACAGCAAGAAGCCCCTCAACCACCAATAGAGAATGTTCAACCTCTAAAGAATAATAGCAAGCAAAGCATAGATTCGCCACGTCAAAGTTTAGACAATTTCGACAGGCAAAGCGAGGACTTACCGAGGGAAAGCTTCGATGACTACGTCCCTGGCCCATTCCTTGGTCTCGGAAATAATCGTGCTAGCACCAATTCGTCTATGTACAGTCCTATCAATTCTCCTCGCGAGTCAATCGTCATTCCCACAAGTTCTGTAAAAGACATATTAAATGCACCTGAACCTAGTCCTAGAGAAAATTCTTTGAGTCCAATGACTAATGGCGCCGAGCCTCTTAATGGGAGCGCGAAGCCACTTCCATTGGCGCTACAAGCGCCCCGAGGCCCCCCAAGTGGTCCTCCAAGTCCCCTGCCAGCTTCAATGGGGGCAGGATTTGGCCTCAGATCGCAAGATAGTGATATTGAAGATCTCAAGGTATGGAACTAAATTATCCCCCAGGGAATTGCTTATGCTAATAATATTCTTCGCAGATATATCTAGAAGATCAAACGGCGCTCTTAGTCCAGAACATTCAGTCACTAGTCTCTTCCATTCGTTCAGAAGGCGGCATAAATGCTATTTCAACCCAGATTGATGCAATTGCCAGTGTCGTTGGTGAAGTTGTTGCTTCTACTGAGGAAGCCATGGTTAACAATCCAGCACTCCGCTCACAATGTCAACCAGTCTTGACAAAACTTTCTGGGTGCAGAGAGAAAATCATGGCTGCAGGCGAAGAGGGCAGAGAAATTGCAATTGAGGGAAGAGAAGATGACGAAGGTGATGCAGAATGGCGAGCTTGGAACCAAAGCCTACCACCTATCGCGTTCGAAATTGCCCGAGAAACCAAAGAATTGGTCTTAAGAGTTGATGTCCTTGATGGGGAAGGTGGTGGAGATGACGACTTTTCATAATGATTCGTCCAGTTATTAATGGGTTCCCGGGCACCTCTTCATGCAAGGACCACCCACATATCGTCGTTTGTTCAGTCTTTTTGCTGTCTGCTTCATTTTTGCATAGCTATGGATGGTCTATTTCGTTTGACGCTCTGTTCCCAATTTCTGTTGTTTTGCATTGGAATTTTACCCCTTTTGCGTTCAACATTTTTGTGTTTTTCTACTTTTTTCTTGTTATACGACAGAGCACCATCAGACGAGCGCACCAATTGACGATTTGAATTGATTGAATGGGCACATATTTTTGGAGGTAGTGGCACACCTCACACACGCATGCATTATTGATGGATACCTTTTTATGTTATTTTGGGGGAGGGGTTTCTTTATTTTGCCTGCCTAAATGCTAGCTGGCATTTCTGCTTCTGACTCAGGGTTTGAATCGCATACAGCATAATACGTATCTACCGAGTCATTAATGAGAAGATAATTGCTAGTTTTATTTTGGGGATGGAATGAGAATGAGTTGGGATGGACATTTTATCAGTTCAGTCTTAGGGGTCACCGGATTAAGGAGAGGAGGCCATTCAGACTTGTGTATATATTTGTGGGATATGAAATGGGGAGATGGGATGGGAGATACAAAGTTCTCATAAACTAGGTACTTGCTCATTTTCGAGAAGTGCCAGTTGGCAAAATGGAATGGAACATTGGGAAGGCATGAGATTAGGGTGGTGATAAAGGAAAGGGGGCGGCAATGATAATAAGATTCAAAATGAATGTTGATACCTGCATGTTTGTAATGTGTTAGGAGTGTGTTTAATGTTTCTGGAGAAACAGTGATAAAAGTATATTCTAAAAAAGATCTGAATTCTGGGTGTCAAACATTTGAGGATTCTAAGTTAAAGTTCCAAACTCTGGTCAAGAAAGACAGACAGAAGTCTATGTATGATTGATTTGCATCCATCTAATTTAACCTTGCATCAGATACCACGCTTGAATTCTGAGTTAGGCTAGGGGTCTGGAGATTGCAATAGTCCCTGTTTTATAGATGTAAAGTGGAAAAGTAGACTTTGAAGTGAAAAGTTAACTTTGCATAGTTGATAAAAACAGTCAAATAGGCTCAGACAGATCATTTAGACATTAGACATCTAGACCCCTAGGAGTAGTCAAAGATGTTGGATAGCCTTGCTCGAGCCTTGTTTCCCCCACCATCCCAAAATAATTACTCATGTGATTTGAACAAGAAGCTCGGACCATTCGAGGCGGGCATCGAAAGCTCTGGAAACAAGTGGAGGGAAAATAAAGAGATGCTTGTCCAACCTCCGACTCAACTTTATAATTTGAGCATTCGAGTTTTAGTATTACTTTTCGACCTTTAATTATCATATTTTCTGATTTTCTACTTTCATAACTCTCTCACACATCATGGCGGACGCATTAAAAGCTGCTGGCAATAAAGCCATTGCAGAGAAGAATTTCGACGAGGCTGTGTAAGTTTTCCTTTTCTTCGTCTTTCTAAGGCTGTATAACTCTGAAGAGCTATCTATGGTATTGTTGCACTGAGTTCTTGTTGAGGAGGAATATACGTGAAGAGAAGTTACTAATGACTTCATAGCGAAAAATTCACCGAAGCTATTGCTATCGAACCAGAAAACCACATCCTATACTCCAATAGATCGGCTGCATATGCTTCAAAACGAGACTTTGAAAACTCCTTGAAGGATGCTGAAAAGTGTACGAGTATTAAGCCTGACTGGGCCAAGGGATGGGGCAGAGTTGGTACTGCTAAGCAAAGTTTGGGAGATCTTTTGGGAGCGCATGATGCTTACGAAGAGGCTTTGAAGCTTGATGCAAATTATGCGGTTGCTACCAAGGGTTTGGCACAAGTCAAGAAATCCATCGATGCAGAGGCTAAAGCAGGTGAGTTTTGGAAAGTCTAGAGTTACATAGACGATTGGCTAACAAAGCATTTCTAGATGGTGTAAAGGGTGATCCAACAGAAGGACTAGGAAATATGTTCAGTGATCCTCAACTCATCAATAAATTAGCAGCGAACTCAAAGACCGCCCAATTCCTTTCAGACCCAACCTTCATGTCAAAACTTCAACAAATCAAGTCCAACCCAGGCAATACTCAAGAACTTTTCTCAGATCCACGTATGATTCAAGTCTTGGGTGTCCTGATGGGTGTCGACATGTCTTTCGCCGATTCGGGTGCTTTTGGTGGCGCTCCAGGTGCTGAGGGTGCTTCCGCGCCTAAGGAGGCTGAGGAAGATATCGCAATGCCAGATGTACGTCCAAGCTCGCAAGAACCACAAGCCAAGAAAGCCAAGACCGAGCCAGAACCGGAGCCAGAGGATGAGGAGGCTGCCGAAAAGAAGAAGGCAAAGGCCGAGGCCGACGAGGAAAAGAGACTTGGTACCGAACAGTACAAGAAGAAAAACTTTGATGAGGCGATTGCACATTACAGCAAGGCTTGGGAAATCTACAAGGATATCACATATCTTAACAACCTTGGTGCTGCATATTTCGAAAAGGGAGAGTATGAAGAGGCCATTAAAGCATGTGAGAAGGCTGTTGAAGAGGGACGAGAAATTTACGCCGATTTCAAGATGATCGCTAAATCATACGCCCGTATCGGAACTTCTTATGAGAAGATTGGAGATCTGTCAAAAGCCATTGAGAACTACAACAAGTCGCTCACCGAACATCGTACCCCTGACGTCGTCAACAAGCTCCGTGCCGCAGAGAAGAACAAGATTGATAGTGCCAGAAAGGCTTACATCGATCCAGCAAAGGCTGAAGAGGCTCGTGAACTCGGAAACCAAAAGTTCAAGGAGTCAGATTGGCCTGGAGCAGTCGAGGCTTATAGTGAGATGATTAAGCGTGCTCCCGAGGATCCAAGAGGTTACAGTAACCGTGCAGCTTCTTTCATCAAGCTTCTTGAATTCCCTTCTGCTTTGGAAGATTGCGACAAGGCAATCTCCAAGGATTCTAAGTTTGTCAGAGCATACATCCGAAAAGCACAAGCATACTTTGGCATGAGAGATTACTCCAAATCTCTTGATGCTTGTAACGAAGCTAGCGAGGCTGATGTTTCAAAGGCCAATGCTAGAGAAATTGAGCAGCAACAGCAGAAGGCTGTTACTGCCATGTACAGTGCCAGAGAGAATGAGACTGAGGAACAGACTAAGGAGAGACTTTCAAGAGACCCTGAGGTAGGTTTAAAAGTAGATTTTTCCGAGATTGTGTCGCTAACAACCATTACAGATCCAAAGAATCATGGGTGATCCAGTCATGCAAAGCATTCTCCAACAAGCTCAAAACGACCCCGCCGCTCTTCAAGAACACATGAAGAATCCACAAATCAGATCCAAGATCCAACAACTCATCGCTGCCGGTGTCATTCGTGTAGGAAGATGATCGGATTGAAGATCTGATTTGATGGAATGGAAGGTAACTTGAAGAAGATGAGTTATAGGTTTAATAATTAATCGTTCCCGAGGCTCGTCTCTGGAAATGATGATTTGATATGATATGATATGATATAACACGATCCATGAGATGAAAATGAACTACGGGGGAGGAGGAAAATACCATGAGAATGCATGCAAAGGGGGATGTATGTTAAAAGATATCGGGCGTGCGTGTCAGTTTCATTTTTATGGAATGCACAGCAGGGTACTTAGGTAGTCAAGCACTTAACTTAATATTCACAATTTACTCAATTCGGAATTCTCTTTTCTTTTCCTCTCTATTTGGGAGCACCTCTGTCTCCTTGTTTGACTTCGCAGTTAAATTCAACCTGAACCACGCTTCGTTTTCTACAGTTCAAAGCGACATTCAATCTAGATATGTTCGAGAACAACGATGTATAAGTGTGAATATTTCTCTCTTTGACATCAGCTATTGTATGTAATGGATCAACTGCACTACTATGTCCGCCAGCCCTGTATTTTCAACCGTCGACTCCGATCCCAACATGCCCCCAAGTCCCGCCTCCCTCCCACCCATCCATCCATATACATCCCATGCGATCGGATAAAAGTGAAATTATATCGATCTATGTGTCCCGCCTGCCCCCTCATTCATTCGTTTATTCATCAGTCACCTCCCTGAACACCCCGGAATCGACCTCTTCAAATTTCCTTTGAAACCCTTCCCCGCCGATCATGTCCTTCCCATCCATCCCACCATCCCACCATCCCATTCATATGGACCCGAACCATGTATACCAGCCAGAACCCGGAATCAAAAGCCGAGGCCCATCGAAAATATGTCGATAAAGAAAAATAAAAGTAAAATAAGATAAACATTCGCTAAAGGAGCACAGAATCATAAGAGACTTGTGACGGACTAGAAAATTCTGAAGACTAGCTCAAATACTGAGATGTATCGAGTGTCTTGGTATCTGAGTGTATGTACAATGCCTGGGATATGACGGATCGAAATTAGGTATTGAGACGACTGAAAAGGGGGTGGGTTGAGATCGTTTGCTGGATTGGGACATGGGCACTTTCGGATTGGTGGGTTGATGGGAAAGGTCAGCGAATTGGAAGCGACTTGGAAATGTTTGTTGAGAAATGGTTGCAAAGGATCAGGTACAGCTTGGTAGGTATGTACTCGTGATTACACGGTCACAGGTAATTCTCACTGTGGTGATGCCAATGATATCACTGAATTGTTCTCGAAAATTCCCCACGCACTCAATAGACGACTCAACTTGCCCAGTTGAAGCTCAGTTATCCTCAAGCAAAACGATGACCTGCTTCTAGCTGAGAAGGCGTTGGCTCGGCATTGGCTGATTGTGCCGAAGCATTTCCTGTGGCTCTATTACTACCAGGCATGCGGATTCCGGTGAAAGCCGCCGGTATTCTTGGCCTCCATCTGCTTGCTGCTGGAGCAGTGGTGACTTCGGGTGCTCCTCCATCGGCTGCTACACTCGTCGGTCCAGCTTGAGCTTGGCGTGCGCGCCTAGTTTGTCGTTCATCACGATTTCGGGTATCCACATTTGATCTAGCGGATGCTCCGAATATTCCTGGCATACCTCGAATTCCAGTCCAAGCTGATTGTGGCTGTTGGGGCATATTTGCCCTCGAGGCGTGCGCTCTACGTGAATGTCGCTCAGGCTCAGGCTCACCTTCAGGTCGGGGTTTTGGTGTAAAATAGTCCGCCTTGCAAAGTGGGCAGCAAGCACGACGACTAGTCAACCATGGATCTAAGCACGAGGCATGGAAAGCATGACCACAAGTCAAACCACGAACGTCATCATCCTCTTCTAGGGAGTCGATGCAGATAGCACATGAATCTCCTGGGTTGTTGAGGAGCTCGAGAGGTACGGCGGTATGAATATGGTCATCCTCGTCATCATCCTCAACGTCTTCGACTGTTGCGATATTCTTATTATCGATTGTGCTGGCTCTCGTTGGAACTTCTTCCAAATGATGTAGTTCTTCCTTACGCTCCTCGGTCGTTGCAGGTGTCTTCTCCGCAATTACCGCATCCATACTCTTTCTGTCGCCATACCCACCTCTAATAGTATGTGCTGGCGATGATGGTGTTGCTTCATCTCTGTTCGAAGTGGCTGTGGCTGGCCTGGTGTTGATAGAATGCTTTGTGCCAACAGGCGAAGATGGTTCTACACCCTCCACTTCTGCCACGCTTGCAGCTCGGCTTGGCGGCGCTGTAACACCCCCACTAGTTGGTAGTCCTTCGCTAGCTCGATTTGCTACCCAGGTTTTGTATTTCGTCAGAGGAAATCGTTCGTTCACTTCGTCCATGGTCATAAGCTTCTTTTCCCGGCGCCTTCGGTGTGGTCGGGGTGGCATATTATCGAGATTAATTGGGTTCTCACCCATCTCTCGCGCTGCCCGATTCCTAGCATTGTATCGAAAGCAGTATTTGACACCAACAATAATCCTTCGCAAAGGTTAGTGATAAGCAGTCATTCGAACCCTTTGAGATACTTACCATAAATTTGTAAATACGACACCGAATCCCAGCGCAACAAAGAACAACAGTGGTGAACTAGTCGGGCTACTGTTGTTGGATGATGTTGGTGTAGATGGAGTAGCAGATGCTGAGGTTGATGAGATCGGGGACGAAGCTGCTGCTGTTGACGAAGGTGCGATTGTAGTCTGCCTCCCGACGATCTTGATGACCTCTAGCATTCCATTAACTAGCGCCATCTTTTAGTTGAGCGATGTGTTGTTGTAATTGTGCAGCGCCGTTCAACCCTCTAACTTTCCCAGAGTTAGGTCGTATGGGTGGGTCAATGCAATACAGGATGGGATTATTGATTGCCACAGTGGTCGTGAATGAATCAAAGAAATCCTTTTACCGAGATCATTTGAAACTATTGATTGATGTTCAATTCATTTGAAGCAATCTTTTCCGGTTTCCAATGATTAATACTATTGGCGAGAGTGAAAATTCAAGGTTGAAGTGAGAGGTGAAAGAAGGTAAAGTAAAGTGAAGCGATTCACACGAGTCCTTTCCTTGGTGCGACAATGTGCATTAATGGGGGATGGGGGAGATGGGGAGGGGGTGGATGGATAGATGTATGGGTGGATGAAATTGAGAGGCTGTCTTTGTGGATAAAGTACCCAAAACTGGGCGTAGAGGGCGAAGGCTGGAGAAAAAAAGATGGGGTCAGCAAGTTTAATGGATGATGAATGGGATCTTGCAACAAGACGCACGAAACAAGTAAAAATTTATCCTTATCAATTGAAAAGGGTCATTTTTGAATGTGACTTGCAAACATACCTTTTTAATTATTTGATCTTGAGTTGGGGGTAGATTGAGGGTTGAAAGTTGGAGTTGAGTTGAATGAAGTTGGAGTTGGAGTTGGAGTTAGAGTTGGAGTTGGAGTTGGCTTAATAATAAGAGATCAAAGTCTTTTTGATTTTGATTAAATAGATGGCTAAAGAGGAAGTCAAAGCAACCGACAATTATTGGCCAATCGAGCTGAAAGTTGATCAAATCGAGTCAGGGTGGAATGGTAATGATAATGTGGTAAATCAACAACAACAATAATCAAAGAGGACTCGGGTTAGATATTTTGACTGGATTTGACTGGATTTGACTGGATTTGTCTTGATGTTGATATTGATATTGATACCGTTCCCGTTCCCATTCCCGTTCCCAATATCAATCTCAATCTCAAATCAGTTGAAGTGATATGTGAGATTGATAGGTAGATGAGTGAATTAAATTATATAGTCAGGTACTTCCCGAATGCGTACAGACAGGTTTTGGAATTCCTTTTGGCGGAGTCCTTGAGTCGGTAGATGGTGGATCTAAAGAACTGGGTACAAAGTATATGTAAGTGCTCAAATATCGTACATCGTACATCGTATATACCAGTAACAGTATTTGATAATGAAAGAGAACAATGAGAAAAGACAGGAATAAGGAATAAAGGAGCTTGAACTCTTTCATTTCTTACCCTGACAACTCTCTGCGAAGCTCAATGCGGTAATGTAGCAATATGTAACAAGTAATATATTCTTCACTTCCATTCTACGCCTCCCTTTTCGCCTCCCTTTTCGCCTCTCCCATACCACCCAAAGTATTTGAAATACATCTCATCATCTCACTTCCATACACAAATAAAAGAACAGTCGGGTCCTACCTACACCTTACAAGTTTGGTAACGGTTTACGGCAAACGGCCATCCGTAAGAAATGATTGGACTTCATGAAAAGCATCGACTGTGTTGCGACACTTGCAATGGAATGGGCAAGACAAATCCCGAATGGTAAGCCACATGAAATCTAGATATTGATCGGATACACAATCCGGAATTCTCCTCGTTACTCTAGACGCATCCATCCACATCCACATTAATGGGTTTTGGAATTTTGATTCTGGTGTGTGCATGTAAGATTACTATCTACCTGCCTACCTACTACATCGTGGATATCTAGCCATGTTCTCACTTCCAAAAGATGTTCATGAAATATGGATAGGCCGGAAGCGATCATGAATTTTCCAAAAACGTTTAAATCTGAGACAATTGTGTCTCCTTCTTTGAAACTCAAAATGAATGCTAAGAGATGGGATTACAGTACATTCAGCATATGCATATGCACACAACGTCCGTCTCAATACAATCTGAACTGATATCATTGGATAATATCAACCCGGGGATTTCGGAGCGTGTTGAGTTAGTTTGATACTAAACCATCCCTCCTTGATTCATCATGCAAGAACACCTATCGAAAGTTCGAAACCTGGAAGATCGCAGAGTGAGGTGACATCTCATGATACCTACCAGTACATCACCGGTTTGAAGATATGCATGCACTCACTCGTATTGATCTTTCCGATGCCAAATCTCTTTTTGTTGTGAAGTGCACTGTTTTCCAGATTATCAATGAATCTCTGCCCCATCCCAAGCTCAAAGAAATTGAGATTGAACG